ATACATACAGGACCAAACTCCAGCAGGTGTGGCAAAGTTCCTCTGTATTTCCTGTGTGAAATACTAAAGGAATTGAAGCTCAGATCCATGAAAATTCCAACGTGGTTACTGGGGGCGACTTGTAGTTTGATTCACTGCTTATAGAGGAACTTATCAGAACTTTATATCATGATGGCCAGGATAAGCAGGGGTTTTAACTTTGTTAATAAAAGTGTGTGGAAGTGTTTATGTGTTATCATTGTCAGAACTCCTTGCTAAAACCTAACTGCTTTATAGGTGACTGACAGCTTTCCAGAATCCATGGAAGAAAATAACGTCAATAAATGTAATCTGGCAGAGGTAATTTAGGAGAAAATATTCTCCTTGAAATTTCATCATTTTATAAAAGTTAGCACTTCAACACTTAGAGAAAGTATGAGAGATTAGACTGATGAGTCAAGATTTTTATTTTATATACTTGTTCTTTAAAAGGCTTATTTTTTAAAAGTTACCTTAAATTGTCATGCCTAATTTTCTAATTATTTGCATACCCAAAATCTGATTGAATAAACATAGTATACATGTATTTATTAGTCTTTTTTTGTTGTTATTATCTTTTTGAGACAGTTTCACTATGCAGTTCAGGCTGGCCTTGAACTTACTTTGTAGCCCAGGCTAAGCTGGAACTCACAGTGATCTTCCTGCCTCAGCCTCCCAAGTGCTGGGATTACAGGCATGCAGCACCGTGCCTGACATGTGCTATAGTCTTATGTACACAGAAGTCTACTGATTTTTTTTTTTTTTTTTTTTGTACCAGGGGTTGAACTCACGACCTCATGCTTACCGGGCAAGCACTTAAGCCACTGAGCTAAATCCCTAGCCTTAAACAGGGTTTCTTTTTTTTTTTTTTTTTTTGTCTTTTTCAGTTTTTATCGGTACCAGGGATCGAACTCACGATCGCCAGCTTCAAGGCAGGAGCTTATGCTGCTGAGCTAAATCCCCAGCCCCAAGTCTACTGATCTTAATTCATTCACTAACAAAATGTAGGTAAGAGCTAAGATAAGACAGGTACAGTAGAGTGCTAGACACACAAAGGCTCAATATGACATAGGCTTTGCTCTTAAACAGACTCATACCCACTGGGAACAGTTCATTGTACAAAATAATCACAAAAATAATTACAGAGTTACAAACTGAAAGAAATGTTATGCAGGAAAAGCAAAAGTGGGAAGAGAGATGAAACGAAGATGGTTTGGAATAGCTTTGAAGGTAATTACAAGCAGATGCAATTCAGCTGGGCTCTGAGTCATCAGTGGAATTTGGCAAAGTATGGTAGCTATGGGCAAGCTCATATGGGAAAACACCAGGCTGGGAAAGATGGCAACCTGCAGAGGTACATCGCCAGCAAACCTTTGTGCATGAAGCACAGTGAAGAAAGGCTAAGCGTAGGCACTGTCTTGCTCAGTATAGGGACTGGGCATCATTCTGGGAAGCCAAGAGCGATTACATTTATTTGCATTTCAAAAAGACTTTTCTGGCTGCTCTGTGTGGCAAAATAATCACAGGAAGAAAGAGACCAGGTGGAAAGTCTTACTGCAGTCAGAGCAGAGAAAGAAGGCAGGCTTGGATTTTGGTGTCACTTGATGAAGAACAAAAGGCAGCTAAAGCCAAAATGACAGGAGGTGGAGCTGGGGTGGCGGTAAAAAAGGAGGTGTCGAAATGATTGTCAGACCATTAGTAGCTGATGGGGAGAAACAGCTTTTTATATTTATTCTCTCCTATTTAAATTCATTTTATGCAAATATATTTAGTGTTTATCAAGTACAAAATACAGTGCTAGGAAATGGATAGCGACATGAAAAGTGGACGTTTCTCATTTCCAAAAGAATGAGAAAGAGTCATTATAACCAGGATAACAATATATGTATCATACAGGCAGATGTGCACACACAGGCATGTCTATGCATTTACTGATACACATTTGTATGCATGTGTACATTGAGATATTTGCATCATGTACACATTTAAATAAATGTCTGGCAAAGGGAATGGGAAGGATAAAGAAAGAATAGTTTTCTTAGAAGTATTTTCAAAGTTGACTAAATTATGTTTCTGTCTTATTACAAAAGATAAGGTCAGTTGTATTATCTATGTTTAATCCATGTTATCAATCGGGTACTCTCATCATTAATAATAGTGGCAAATTAATTATAGCAGTCACTGGTATGTAGTGAACTTTTAAATCACACAAGCAGAAAAACACAAACATACTTCACTTTAATGTGGTTTGAATATTATCTTTTTATAATTTTTCTCGGCATTCTAAACTTACAGCTCTATTACACAACTGAGTTCACAGCGGACAGAATGCAGTTACTTCGCTGTTTTATGAAGGATGAGCCAAATGTAACGGAGTGAACCATCCCTAGCTTGGCCAAAGCCGTCTTCCAGGCCAGAAGCACTGTGTTTACCAAACTTATCTTGCGTGTTGATCCTAAGAGTCCAAGTAAACATACAGAACAATCACGAATCTGTGAATTATATTACAGCAGCTTTCCTGTCCTTTCCTTCCTCCCAGTCATCCTTGATTCAATTCTCATTTTTCTTTTGACTTGAATTTTGTTTCTTACTGTCTCCTCTTTATAGTGATAAAGTTGTCTAATCTCTAAACTGCTACAGAATTTTCCTGTACCATGACTATAATTATTGCAGAGAATAAGAAAGATACGCTTGGAATCAGTGTGAGTTAAATATAAGGCTAATGAAATTCCAAAGTCTCTCACCTAAAAGAAACCTTTTAATATTGCTGTACCTACATATATACTGTTGTGTTTTGTTTTGGTCCTGGGAATTGAACCCAGGCCCATGTGCATGCTAACTAAAGACCTACTCTAACACTGAGCTATGCCCATTGTGTAAATTTATACTTCCAATTTTATAGATATCTTTTAAAGGTCAATTCAATTTTATGACTTGCAGGCTTCAGATAACCTATCTAACCTTGTTTTCATATTGTATTATAACAACTTGCCTTTTTATAATAATATTTTACCTTCACGCAAACATGGGGTAATATTTTATTTTTGTCTTTTGGGAAGCATCTAGTTCCATAAATGTTTGTTGAATGAATGAAGAATATATTTGGAGTTGACTGGTGAGATTTTCTTTACCTTCATGAATCTTCATTAATGTCAAATTTGTCACAAAACTTTAAAAGGCAATCTTTGTTTAAACCATGTTAAGTTACTTTATTTAAAAAAGCTAAAAGTAACTATTTGGAGAATTCTAAATTAAATTCTCATTACTGTCAAAATGCATATTTGACAAAAATTCCATCTATCTTCACGTTAGTCTTCTTTTATTTAATTTTCCCCATTCAAAAAAATATTCTTGGCATATTTTCCAAAAAAGAATTACTTAGAGTATATTCAAGTTTGTAGATTGTAATAGTTCTTGTAAAGAGTAAATCTAGCCAAAGAGAAACTGTTATATGATTGTACTTCTTTTTAGCTTTCATTTTATATAGGATCTAGATTTTGTCATTTTTTTTTTCTCTATGTGCTCATTTCTATTTCTCTACCCTTTTCTTAGTTTAGGTACATTGACAGGTTGATGTTACCTGAGAGCTGATAGGCCCTGTAGGATGCATTTTGAAAATCTGAACAACACACAATAAATAAAATCAAACCATGAAGATCTATCATTTCTAAATTATATAATTGAGATTCACCCATATTTTTTTAAAAGCAAAAATATTCTTCTTCCTTTCTCTATATGTTGTTATGGTCACTAACAAAGATTTTTTTTTTAAATACCAAAGACATTCTTTTGCCATTTAGTGACCACAGAGATGAATAATTTAAGGACAATTTTAAACTCTTGAAAAATCTGATAAATGTTTTAACTATTGAAGAAACTGGCTTTTATTTGGTTAATCTTTTTGCTAGCTGTAAGTAATACAATACAGGAATCCCTTGCAAAATAAAATGAATTAACATAAAGAGTAAAAATAGAGTTAAACAATGTATTAGTAGAAAAAACATTAGGGGTTTGCCTTGAATTTCCTGACGGTTGTTGTGCAATTGACAAGGAGGGACTCCAGAATGGGGACGCCCTTGCAGGAAGCAGATCTGCCACTGAGAGCCCCTGCATCTTCTTGATTTAAAGCTGCTTTAGTCCTGCCCTTGCAGTGTTTTCCTCCTTCTTCCCTCTCTATGACATCAAGCTAAGGCGAATAATTGTAGATGCTAAGCCAGACTCACTTTCCTCCTTTTATATTTATTCTGTTCCCAGTTCTAACATTTCTATAGGAATGCTGCTGCCCTGTTTTATTTTAAAGGCCCTGGAATATCAGTGCTCTTTCTCTGCGGTCCCTTCCTTATTTTTGAAAGACTGTCTATAGGCTAAAAGAGAAAGTTATCTCCAAATTGGGAGCTCTTCCAATACCCTCATATGAAAAATCACTATTCGTTACTGAGATGATTTGCGAGGTGTTTAGTTCCCAAACAGAAGTGAATGCATTATAGTATTTCCATAAGCTTGGATTTTACTTTAATTTTGGGAAGATTTTACTTTTGTTTTTAATTTCAAAATACTTTTTGGTTTTTGTTTTTGCTTTGAGTTCCTGAACTCTAAAGTAATGATGTCCATAGCGTGCAGCCGGGGTCTCTTACATCCCTGCAGCCTCACCTCCTAGAGTACCCTTGAGAGGACTTCTGTTTTCTGAACTCTTTGACAGACACTTGCTGGCCGCGCAGTGGCCCCTCCTGGGAGAGCAGAGTTATTTCAGCAAACCTTCGGGGGTTCACCCTTCCTGCTGCGCTGGGGAATAGGACAGTGTTGTTGCCAGTCTCTCCTCCAGTTTCACTCTTTTTAGGGAACTGTGGAATTTACATTTGAACTTTGTTAGAAAGCTGTCAGAGGATACGTGGCCATCAAACTTTTTAAAAAGATGGCACTGCTGCTTAAGGTAACTTTTAATAAGTAAACCTATCCAACAGTTTGAGTCGTTCCAATTCAAATTAAACTAAAATAAAATAACTTTTATTTTAGAACAATTTAAAACGTACATTTTTGCTCCCCGCCTTTCCCACGTACAGGAGGGAGGCGGCTCCCATAGCCAGATAGAACCCGGTTTAAATCGTGGCAATTAGAGAAAGCAAACAAGGCAGAGGCAGTGGTTCTGCTGGTATTAACCCAGAGCAGGGAAAAGCAGAGCGAGTCTCTGCACGAGTGCAGAGGCTGACTACGGCTGTTGGCTGTTGGCTGTTCGCACGCACTACGCCGCTTCCTGACCACCGCAGGGCATACTCGGCCAAAGCTCCGGGAGAACGGTGATGAGTGTTTTCTTAACCTGGAGACTTTGGGGGTCACTCCATGCTGCGGATTTCTGTGGCCTTTCAGTTCTGTCTTCTGCAGCAGGGTGCCAATGCTTTCCTGATTTCACTGTCGCTAGAACGCTCCACCAGAGGGAGGGCAAGGAAAGGCAACTGGGTTCCACGTGCAGTCCTGCGGGCAGCTGGAATCGCGCACACTGGCGCTGACGATTCAGGATCACCTGGCTGGTGTCTCCATCGTGCCTCGCCTCCCCTCGCTCGCTCAGCGGAACTGATTTCCAGCTACTCAGTTACTGTGATAGTGCATTGAGCTGCGGCTTGTCAGTTCCTTTGACTATGAAGCTGCAGTAAGAGAGAGTTTGGGATAGATCCTTAGAAGAAGCCCGGTTGTTTCTAAAGAAAATCTAGAGATGCGAATTCTAACAGGCGCGTTAAGCCGGTGAATCGGAGGAAGCGCAATGGGCGCCGATCTCCAGAGCCAGCAGCGCCCGCCCGGGGTCATTTTCGGGGCTCACCGAGCGCCCCGCAGCCACAACCGCTCACCTCAAACTCCCTCCCTTAAACTTCACCTTTGCCCTGCGCACTAATGAGAGCGGGGTAGCGCCCTAAAGCGGGGGAAGGAATGAACTCTGAACCTCTGTATTAAAATAACCAACGTTTTTTCCCTTCCGGAGCCTTCCAAGGCTGCTTTAGGGGCAGGTGTCAGAGTTGCAAACTTCTTTTCTCCAATCCCCATTTCCCCGTGAAAGTGCCCTACGCGGCCCCTGCCAGCCTGCAGGGGACAGCGAGCGGCGGCGGCGGCCACCGTCGGGTGCCCCGGGCCGCCCGGCTCAGCTCGGTTCCCGCAGCCGCGCGGCGTCCGCGCAGCGCCCAGCGACCCCTGTCGGGGGTTCCCGGCAGCCCGGCCGGCGCGCAGCGAAGGGGCTGCGCCGGGAGCGCCCAGCCCAGGCTCCTCCCGGTGGCGTGTCCGCGCCTCGGGGTGGGGGTGTGGTGGGGAGAGGGAGGGGGCGAGGCGAGGGGAGGGTGAGAAGGAGGCGCCAGCTCCAACCTGCGGGGGGAGGTGGGTGGCTGTGGGGCAATTGAAAAAGAGCCGGCGAGGAGTTCCCCCAAACTTGTCGGGACTCCGGGCTCGCGCGGAGGGCAGGAGTGCAGCGACGCGGGACAGGAATCGCCTCTCCCGCCTTGGCTGCGAGGGCGCCGGCCGTGCGGGACTCAGCGCGACCTCGGGACGCAGCGCCCGCCAGTTCCAGGTGGTCGGGACCGCACGCCGCGCCGCGCCGCTCCGTGCAGGCGACAAGCGACGCCCCGGCTCGGTTAGCGCCCCAGCCCGCCGCCCGCTGCCCCGGAGGGCCAAACTTTCCCCAAACCCTATCCGAACCCTTGGACCAAACTTGTCGCGCGTCGCCTTCTCCGGGAGCCGTCCGCGTACAGCGCTCACTCCTCCGGCGAGATGTCCGAGCGCAAAGAAGGCAGAGGCAAGGGAAAGGGCAGGAAGAAGGAGCGAGGCTCGGGCAAGCCCGAGCCCGCAGAGGGCGACTCGCGGCCAGGTGAGTGCTTGGCGCGGCCCGTTTCCCGGGGTCCGCCTCCTCCTCCACGGCTGCCGCCGCCCGCGCCCGGCGCTCCGGATGCCTACCCTGCCCCGCGGAGCCGGGCGCTGTCCCCCAGCTGGGGGCCGCCCTTCACCTGGGCGCTCACGCCCTGCGCGCGCGCAGGGTCAGGGGTGGGAGTCCCATCCCGCACCTTTCCCGGGTCGGGGAGCTTAGCGCTCCGGACGCGACCTCACTCTCGCGCCGGCGGCGGAACTCAGCCCTGGATCGGGAGCTAAAGCGCTGGAGCCGTGCTGGGTGCGCGCGTGCCCTGGCGCGCAGGCTTTGCACGGGCCCCGCCTGCCCTCTAGCGAACCGCGCGGGAACAGGCGGTCCGGACGCGGAGCCGGATTGCCCTGCGGGCGTCTGGCTGTGTGTGTACCGGGTGGTCGTAAAAGGGGCCCCCGCAGAGGATCGCGCATACCTGTTTCTAGCAGAGAGGCGGGATGCAGAGTCGCGCAGTTCACCCTGGAGTCCTGCTATCCGGAGACTCAGTGCGGCCGAGAGGGATTCCTAAAGGTTAGCGAAGCAGATAAAATCTAGCTCAGTGCCAGGAATCAGCAACTCTACAGAAGTTTTACAGACTTTTGGCCTCGCTATTCCATTTTTTAGGACCTCTGATAAATGGAGTTAATTTACATTCTTAAGAAGTATCAGATAGCAACAGTTTACCTGAAATTTTTGAATCAGTTGTTTATTGCATCTATAGGGAATGTTATGACAGTTGAAGCTTTTTGGGAAAAAAAATCTTTTATTATCAGAGAACTGTATGTATGATCCATAGTGTTACCTTAGCCCTAAGAACGCTATTTCTTTAGACATTGCTTTGAACAGAGGCAGCTTCCTGAATAATGCTTGTTTATGTGTGATTAAGTGAAGTGATGCTTAGAACAGGAGGGGCGAGGACTAGCGCTTTGCTCCCCCTGCTCCTGCAGTTCCCAACTTAATCTGAACTCCTTGGGTCACTGAGAACATAGCCCCAAACACATATTCTGTGGAGCTCTTCTGAAGAACTGACTCAGCAGCACTTAGTAAGAGCGTGGCTAACGAAGATAAGCAGTATTTGTTTCTTTAGAAAGAAAACAAACCAGATTGGCTTAGTCTTCTCATTGAATCACTGATAGCACTTGAAAACCTGATTTATTATAGGCAGATACCAAGGGTTTTGAGCAAAACAGAGAATAATTGTTTAGCCACTGACCATTATTTTATTTCTCAAGTAATTACTGGCGATCAGGTTCACCTTAATTACTGTTAGCTCTTACGGCGATAGATTGATACTTTCCCTCTTTTTACCCTGTATTTTATAGATACATCATAGCATTTTGTTTACCAAAGTATGAAATGGACATTAGCAGTCTTTGAATGACTCTGTAGTATCCTCAGGCCATCATCATAAATTAAAAAGATCTTAGACCCAACCAAAATTGCTAAGTTGCAAAGAGTAGTTTTGGGGTTCCTTGCCTCCATTTGCTGTGGTTTTCTGTCTGCTCATCCATGGCCTTTCAAAGTTTCATTGGGCCTTAGCCTAATGCATCCAGGGTGCCATGGTCTAAGCCTGATGCATCCAGGGTGCCATGGTCTAAGCCTAATGCATCCAGGGTGCCATGGTCTAAGCCTGATGCATCCAGGGTGCCATGGTCTAAGCCTGATGCATCCAGGGTGCCATGGTCTAAGCCTAATGCATCCAGGGTGCCATGGTCTAAGCCTAATGCATCCAGGGTGCCATGGTCTAAGCCTGATGCATCCAGGGTGCCATGGTCTAAGGCAGCATCGCTTTCAGTTAAGTTTGCGTTTCATCATAGGATCATGGCAGCAGTATCACAGCAGACACGGTGATGATTCTACATTTAGATTGAGGCACAGCAGGCGTTTCTGTGTGTAGAAGATCTTACCTGCTAGATGGACAGCTGTCTTGTGGATTGCCTTGATGTTGTCTTGTGACATAGAGTTCTAGAACTTCTTTGGACCTCTTGTTCTGTTTTCCAACCCACACCTGAGATTTTCTCTAGGTCAAGTGACAGTTGCTTCCAGATAGTTCCTTCCAGAAAAACTAACATGAACTTGTCTTTAGGTTAGTTTTTAGTGTATTTGTCTCTCTTTTCCTTTATGTAATTATATTTGGGGGAAGGGGTGTTTTTATCCCTTCCAGGGTACCTTGCACTTGTTACACTAGATTACAATGTTTATTTTTCATTTGATTTGAAAAGAATGGTCAGCCTGAAACCAGGTTTGAGCACATGATATTAAATGATCTCTTTGGAAATAAGCTTTCTCTCCTTCCTTGTCATTTTCCTTAACAATGCTAAGTGGCCAGTGTATTTTCCTCTTATCCTAGAACAATAAAAAACTAATGGCCAAAATCATATGTGGGAAAACTCCCACTCTTCCGTGATTTTTTTTTTTTTTTTTGTACTCTGTAGGGTTCAGTCATCTCAAAGTAATGCTCTCTGGATGCCCTCACAGCAGTGTCACTTGCATGTCAGCCCACATTAGGACAGAGGAGGAGTGCTGTCTCTTTGAATCACTCCTGTGTTAATGTTTCTCACCCTTTCCTTAAAAACAGCCACTGAAGCCATGTGTCCCTGAGGATGCAGGTGTAATATCCAAGCCTCTCTTTGGCTGTTAATATGTTGCCTCATAACAATCAGGGGAGATACAATTTGGAAGGAATTCAGCCCCTCAGCCCAGCTGGGCACTGTATTATATGCATAGGCATAAACACATCTGCTGGAGGGAAATTTTCAGGGAAAGAAAGTTTCTTTAACTTTCATATGACATGTGTGACTGATACACGATACATACATGGCTATGTTTCATAGCATCTGCATTTTTATACAATTAACTGAATATTGAATTGCATGCTGTTAGGGCTGCAGATGTTCAACAGAATTATCTATTCCACAGTAATGGCTCTAATAGGTCCCGAGCGCTTAGGGTCATTGATTACTCCTTTTTTGCTCAAAATAAGCAAGCTCAGTTTAATGTTGGGCTTTGTGTCCCAGATCCATGTACTGATGACTCAGAACACCCTAGTCTCCTGCACACCAGCCCTTCCAGACCCTGCCTCTTCCTGTTAATTCAGTCCAGTCCACAAACTTTCTTTTGAAGCATGAATTAACAAAACTCATCTTTGGGTTTTTGCCAGTTGTTATTTGACTGTAACTTTATGATTCTCTGCGTATTGATATATTTTTCTTACTCCGCAAGGATTTTTTTCTCTTAAGTGACTTGGAAAAAATTCATTATCGTGCCTAGCCCAATTCTGGAACTGTTATTTCATTTCATGCCTGGCATTGGTACATTGGTGAGTACAGTGGGTAGAAGAAGTGAGAAACTTAGTGTCTCAAATGCAGAGCGTACCCGCTATGTTCCTAGTGACATCACCCACCTGTTTCCTTGACCAAATGGCCCACAGGCTGAAGAGCTTGTAAACATTCGTGGATATAAAGTGCCAGATCCCCAAAGAGGGGCAGCCTGTGTTTACAGAAGGGAAGGAATGTCCAGTGATCAGTTTCATACTTGTTACTTGAAACTGCTTACCTTATGGGCTGATCAGAAAATCAAAGATTATTTACAGAACGAGACCTCTTTTAAAGAACTAAACAGCAGAAAGAGTGAGAAGAGCTTAGATACTATTTTTGTATAAGCAAAATAATAGTTGATGAAAGAATGGAGAAACCCGTATATAGTAGAAAAAGACAAAATATTAGACTGACACACGAACAGTAAATACATCTGTTTTGTGCCAGGTGTTATAGTAGACACTTCCTATTCACTAGTAAGGAAGCTACTATTTATTGGATTATTATGATGGACCAGGCAGTGTAAAACACAGATTGTATATTTTATCACTTGACGTTTACAAAATATCAGTATTATTCAGCAAAAAGTCAAGATGGCCTCCACCTTCAATGTCCAGCAAAATTGTCTGGGTTTCACCTGGTTTAAGTCCTGGTTTAACCACTTCTTAGCTGTATCGTCATGGGAAAGGCTTGATTTTTCTGTACCTACCTTTGCTTTCCTGTAAAATGGGGATAGTAATAGCATTCCTGTTACCCTAGGAAATCCGTTAGATGTTAACAAGATAACCTGTAGAAAATATACCAGATGCTGCCCCACATGTAACAAGTGCCCAGTACATATAAACTCACTTTGTAAAATTACTTACAAGATGAGTTGTCTGTCTCTTTGCAAAGATATTTAATATAACTTTCAAAATTTACCTTATATGGTAAAAAAATCCAAGATTAACCTTAGAGTCAACATAAATATTAATATATACTACCTGTAAAGATGGGAGAAAGTGGTTACGTATGTCAGACTCCCTAGCTGTATGTGTGTATTATGAAAACATTGCTGAACTCAATCTAAATATTAAAAGTAGAGTGAGGTACAACATGACTTTGTCTCTGGCAGATAAGTGAGGTTTCAAACAGATTTTTAAAGAGAATTTCTTTTCTGGCAACACTTAAGGAGTTGATATTTAAATCTCCTTTGATTGTATAAGCTCCTTTGGGAGTTGTATAAATTAAAAACAAATACGCCCTTTGTTACATTTATCAGGAGTAACAGTGTGTTGCCAGTGACTTTCATAAAACAGAGACAGTTGTTTCTAAATATAAACAACAAAAAAAGGAACCTAATAAATCCCCATTTCTCCCTACCTCCACCCCTGAGTATGGCTATATATAGTTTTAAAGTTCTGAGATTCTGGTGGATTCTTAAGCAATCAGTGTTGATTAGTTTTCTCAAAGTAACAAGTTAAATTCCACTCTGATATTACTGATAGTTCAGTGTGGTCTGTCATGACTGAAGAAAATAAACATCTGTCAATTTTTTGGGTAAATCATAAATGAACTTCTGATAGTTAATTCTGAAATTCTCTTGATCAATAGAAAAAACGCCCTTTATCAGATATTGTTAACTTAAAAATGGGTTTATTTCAACCAGAGGAAAAATACATGCCTGTCTATTATGCATGCTAGAAGAATACTTAAACTTTTCCCATAGAAAAAGTTGATGTTTTGGATTCATCCTAATTCTTTTCATGTCTGCATCAGTGTGTGTTCTTGCCTGAGTTTTAATAGACAAAAACAAAAAAGAAAAAAAAATCAAGCAACCAAAATACCAATAGATGTCAGTGTTTGTTGTTTTAGAAGAAATGAGGTGTTGGAAAAAAAGGAAGCAGCTTAATTCTCTCTCAGTTTTGTTGAGTATGAAGCTGACTACTATTAAATTTGACAAGTAATAATTCGTTGTATATAAAATTACATTTTACAGAATTACATTTCATTAGTGGAAATATTTCACATTGTTCTCTTCTGAGTATTA